ACTGGAATGCCATCACCTCCACTGGCCTTGTTGTTAGCCATGCTTTCTAAGGCCCACTTGACTTCACTCTCCAGGATGTGTGGCTCAAGCTCAGCAACCACACTATCTGGGTCCTGGACACCCAGATCTTTCTGATATAATTCTTCTGCATATTCTTGCCACCTCTTCTTGATGTCTTCTGCCTCTGTGAGGTCCCTACCATTTTTGTCCTTTATCATATCCATCTTTGCACAAAAGGTTCCTTTAACATCTCCAATTTTCCTGAACAGATCTCTGGTTTTTCCCTTTCTATTATTTTCCTCTATTTCTTTGCACTATTCATTTAAGAAGGCGCTCTTGTCTCTCCTTGCTATTCTTTGGAAGTCTGCATTAAATTTTCTGTAACTTTCCCTGTCTCGCTTGCACATTGTTTTCCTTCTCCTCTCTCCTATTTGTAATGCCTCGTTGGACAGCCACTTTGCTTTCTTGCATTTCCTTTTCTTTGGGATGGTTTTTGTTGCTGCCTCCTGTGCAGTGTTACGAGCCTTCATCCATAGTTCTTCAGGCACTCTGTCCACCAAATCAAGTTCCTTAAATCTGTTCTTCACTTCCTCTGTGTATTCATAAGGGATTTGGTTTAGATTATACCTGAGTAGCCCAGTGGTTTTTTCCTACTATAACATCTTTATATGCCACTCTACCAGATGTACTGTTCAATAGATACATTCTTGGGCCTGGGTAAAAATGATGCCAGCCCCGAAACTAGCAGAGTTTATTTCCCTAATTTAAAAGTACTGGGAGGGTGTTTTAAATGAGCTATAAGAGGCCAAGCAAAAGGAAAATAGGGTAAAGGTGGTGTGGTTTTTGTTTGTTTTTACTACTATTGGGTCAAGTAATTTTGCCGTGGTATCAGTAACTCTTGGTATGGCAGCAGAACCACAACTCTTGGTATGGCAGCAGAATTAATTTATTTAATTAATAAAACATCCAGGATTAAATGATGTCATGTGTTATTGCATATAAATTTCTACAGTCTTTTAATTGTATCCATTACTGTAATTTTATCTCGTCATCCTCATCATACTTCACTGAAGTAGATGACTAACATCCTTGTTGAACAGACGGATGTGATGAAGTGTATTTTTCTAATTAGAGATGGGTTATGTAGTCATGTCTTAACCATAGAGAAATCCATTTTGAGTCTGACACAGGCTAAGTTCTGGAAAATTACTAGTAGTTATTTTCAGCTTCATGTCGCCAAGCTTATCGCTGCAGCTGGAGAGAAAAACACAGCAGAGTCAAAATATAGGTTGGAGAAATTTACAAGAGGTTGGAAAAAGGAACTCTGAGAGAGAGAGAAGAGAGGAAGAGAGTTTTGGGTATCTGAAAACATGGCGTCGAATATCTTTGATCCAGACGAAGGAACCTGATTTAACAATATGGACTGCGTAAGAATATCGTTTGTTTTCCTTAGTTTATAGTTTAGATTTTGTTTTGTTTTTAATGGTTAATTTTTATAGAAGGTGCTGAAACGTTATGCTGTTGCTTAGAAATGAAACTGTAGAGAAATGTTTCCTTTGTTCACTTAAATAAACTCATGTTGTTTAATAATTGGCCTTTCTAGTCCTTTGAACAGAACAGTTTCCCTATAGATAATGAATTTGGCCTTACGTTACCAAAATTGAGTCATTGAACAGTAAATTTACGGTATTAAGTGGTTTCTTTTTAGTAAAATCGAAACAGACTTAAATGCAGGTTTTCCAAGAGTTCATGTCCCGGAACTGTGTTTGACTCAAGCAGTTAACTTCAATCGGGAGTGAAGGAAGCCTGGATTTTCCTGTTTCGTGGTTTTTGCTCTCATTTATGAGACCAATAACTGACAACGGAAGTCCCGTGCAGGAGAGTCAGTCAGTGACTCCACAGTTGAACAGAGGTGGAATCTAGATACATGTGCCCTGGAATCAAACAACCAACTAAATCCACATGACTTTTGATGGGATTCTGACAAAATTCTTCACACACACCCCAAAAAAAGAACAAACTTAGCAATTAAAGAATAAGGAGAGGCTCTTTTATACAGTGGTGCCCCGCATAGCAACATTAATCTGTTCCAGGATTAACGTCGCTATCCGGATTCGTCGCTATGCGGGGGGAAAACCCCATAGGAACGCATTAAACAGAGTTCCTATGGGGGAAAAACTCACTGGTAAGCGAAGATTCCCTCATCCGGCCGCCATTTTCGCTGCCCGGTAAGCGAGGGCAGGGCGCGAAAATGCTGCGGGCGGCCATTTTGCTGATCCGGCAGCCATTTTGGAACCGCCGATCAGCTGTTTTTAGAACATCACAATGCGAAGATCGGTAAGCGAAACGCTTACCAATAATTGCAATGCGATTTTCGGCCATTGAGAACATCGCAATGCAATCGCATTAGCAATCGCAAAAAATGCATCGCTATGCGGATTCATCATTAATCAGTGCCCTCGTTAAGCGAGGCACCACTGGTATATAGAAAATCGGCTAAAGAACAGGAAGGAAAAAGTAGAAATAAGTGGTAATTTCTCTGTGGTCCCTTTGAGATTTGTGTTTTTCAAAAATGGTTCAAAAATGACTTGGAGTAGGGCTGTACTGGCAGCTTAGCCCTAAGGTAAGACAGCCATTCTCAGTCCTTTTTTTTTTTTTTTTTGCCGCAGCAATAAACACAATATGAAAGAAATATAGGCTGAATCAGGATTTTATCAGTCACATGACTAACCTTGAAAGCTTGTGTGAGAAGAATTGTTTCCAGTCTTCAAATGTGCGCCCCAACACCACCGAGGGGGCATATGGCCCTGTTGAGAATGTCTTCCACCAAAATCCTGGTGAGTGTTAGGAAAATAAATGGCAACACCTCCCGGCCTTATTCACAGTTCTCTTTTCAAAAGCAGAAACGTCCTCTTTCTTTTTGGGGGGCACTCCATTCTCTTCCTTCTTTTTCATTGGGGGCTTGCTCTCTTGCCTCAGGACAGAGTGGGTGGGAGATGATGTCACTTGCCCTAAGCATCAAAACGGATGGTGCTGGCTGTGCCGGGAGCTGCCCAGAGAGAAGACACCAAATTATTTCAGATGGTTAAAACAAGAAAGGAATAACAAGGCTCTCCAAAAGAGTATCTCTAAATTGGGGGATGAGTTATTAAAATGGCTAACACAGTTCATTGTAAGCAGATGTGAACTGATGCAATGGCAGCAACAATAACAACATCTTTAACTTTACATGTGCCTTCCTGTGATTTCAGTTGGTAGACTGCCCAGCAAAGAGATCTTGGGGTTGTGGTGAATGAACTCTGATCCACACAGAATGTGACCACTGTGAAAAGGGCAAATTTCATGTTTGGAAGGAAGAAAGTCAAAAATAAAACTCTTATCATTTTGGCCTTATGGCACTGGTGTCCTTATGGCCACATCTGGAATCCTGGAATCTGTTTTGGTCATAGCACACAAAAATGATGTTGTAGAGCAAGAAAAGCTGTGGATAATCACAAGCAAAATGATCAAAGAATTGGAACAAATTTCATATGAGGAAACATTGGAGACTGTTTAGCTCAGAAAACAAAATGGGAAACAGGATAAAACTGTATAAAATGGTAGAGAAGAAGGCATTCTCGCTTTGTCCCTCTGTCCTGATATTAGAATGCAATTGGGGTCATTCATTGGTAGGAGATGTAGGACAGAGAAGAGGAAATGCTTCTTCACACAGTGCATAGCTAAACTGTGGTCAATTCACTGCCAAGGGGTGTAGTTTTTCCACCAGTTTCCTTTACAAAAAGGAACGTTAAATAAATTCATGGAGGTTGGAGTGATCAATGGCATCATGTATTGGCTATACGTCATAATCAGGATGGCTATATATCACCTCCAGCACTAAGGTGTGATCACACAGTTGTATAGCTTGATTTTGGATTGCTGGTGGTGTGGTCCAGTGTGAAATTTTTCGCAATGATCACCTGGGCAACAGTGTTCCAGCCAACCCCCATTTGGGACCCAAAAGGTGTACCACTAGGGCTACTACTTTTTGAGGCTAGGCTGAAGCAATTTCCCAATGGATAGAAGGGTTACTTTAAGGGAGATTGCTCCCAGTAAGTAAGGGACGTGGTGCTGCTGCGGGCTAAGCCGTAGAAGCCTCTGTGCTGCAGGGTCAGAAGACCGGCAGTCGTAAGATCGAATCCATGCAACTGAGTGAGCTCCCGTCGCGTGTCCCAACTCCTGCCAACCTAGCGGTTCGAAAGCATGCAAATGCAAGTAGATAAATAGGGACCACCTTGGTGGGAAGGTAACAGCGTTCTGTGTATAGCCGCGCTGGCCACGTGACCACGGAAACTGTCTATGGACAAACGCTGGCTCTACGGCTTGGAAACGGGGATGAGCACTGCCCCCTAGAGTCAGACACGACTGACTAAATGTCAAGGGGAACCTTTATCTTTACCTTGCTCTCAGTAAAATGAACCCTTTCCACTGTGATCAGACCTGCACCTTTCTCACAGTCTGATCACACTCTCAGCTGCTACGGAATCTGGGATTGATGATGCAGTTCCACTCATGTATAAGCTGTGGGCAACTCATGGGCCCATTCTGGTGTGATCAGGATGATGGGCCAGGTGGCTTTTGGTCAGATCCATCAGACCCCCTCCTTATGTTGTTCTTATTAGAAGCATCGGTTTATGAACTTATTCTGTAGCAATGAAATGAAGGTTGAGGAAAGAATAAGCAAAAGACAGTGCTTTTTACGCACCCACAGTTGTGAGAAAAAAAAGGTACAATGGAATCCTCCCTCATAAATTACATCCAAAAACAAAGAGACCACGTGTCATGGAAGTTAAAGGCACTTGATGGCTAAGCCAGTACAGTGGTGCCCCGCATAGTGACGTTAATCCGTTCCAGGATTAACGTCACTATCCGGATTCGTCGCTATGCGGGGGGGGGGAACTCATAGGAACACATTAAACTCTGTTTAATGCGTTCCTATTGGGGGAAAACTCACCGATAAGCGAAGATTCCCCCAATCAGCCGCCATTTTCGCTGCCCGGTAGGCCAGGGCAGGGCACGAAAACGCTCCGGGGCGGCCATTTTCTGCACCCGGTGGCCATTTTGGAACCGACGATCAGCTGTTTTCTAAACATCGCAATGCGAAGATCGGTAACCGAAACGCTTACCAATCATTGCAATGCGATGTTTAGCCTATCTAAACATCGCAATGCGATCGCATTAGCAATTGCAAAAAATGTGTCGCTATGCGGATTCGTCGTTAAACGGTGTGCTCGTTAAGCAAGGCACCACTGTATTACATGGGAAAGCAACAAACTAGGCACAGAACACATTGCTAACCTGACCCTAGGATAAATACTGCCCACTATGAGTTAGGATTGTACTATAAGGCAGTACATCATTTGTAGAGGAGTGTAACATCTAGCGAAAGAAGACCACATTCCAATGGATTTTATCTAGAACAAATAAGATCAAGGTGAAAAATGAAAAACAAGCACACATGAAATCTGGATGCATATTTCTTTTTGCATTTGGTAATCTAAATGATCTGTGTGGAAACCTGCTTTTCTTCCACCCTGGCTAAACTTTCCCCAGGGTTTGTACAATTTGGGTTGAATTATACTAACACTGATCTTTTCTTTGGAAAAAGTGACAACCCTGGACTAGGTGTTCTTTTAAAATGCTGTAAAATAAAGATAGGGATATACTAGCCACAAAACCGCAGAAGCCTTTGTGTGCTGCAGGGTCAGAAGACTAGCAGTCGTAAGATCGAATCCACGCGACGGAGGGAGCTCCTGTCGCTGGTCCCAGCTCCCGCCAACCTAGCGGTTCGAAAGCATGCAAATGCAAATAGATAAATAGGGACCACTTTGGTGGGAAGGTAACAGCGTTCCGTGTCTAAGTTGCACTGGCCATGTGACCACGGAAGATTGTCTTCGGACAAACGCTGGCTCTATGGCTTGGAAACGGGGATGAGCAGCGCCCCCTAGAGTCGAACACAACTGGACAAAAATTGTCAAGGGAAACCTTAACCTTAACCTATACTAGCCACCATACTGCTACCTGGTTTTCAAGATGCATCAGACACATTTGACCTAGGATCAGTGCCAAACAAACAGTGCAATGCCTAAAAATATGAGCTCAACATCTGGGCAAGATATACTCCAGAATTTCCATACATATAGACTACAGCATAGAAACACTACACTGAAATACAACTCACAAAATTCCCGAGGCAATTTGTCTGTGGGAAGATTCTGGGAGTTGCAGTGCACAATGCTCTCACCCATCAGCTTTTAGAGACACAACTGCAGTCTGGGGAACAACCATGCAAGTTATATCAGGTTTGACATTTTGCCTTTGGATAGTATTTCCTGTTTTCCCAAGCTCTGTAACCAGAATCCCTCTTCGCAGTCAGAGTGAAGGTAACTGTTTAGAGAAAAATGTAATACACAAGACCTTTGATTATATTGGAACCTCCAAATTTGTAATTATCTGAGAGCGGCTCCAAGTGAGAAGCAAGATGTTTCTGTCCTTCTCCTCCTTTGCATGTGGCCAGCGTAATAGGGACAAATCTTCAATCGTTGGGCAAGTGTTAGAATCAAAGACATTTGTGATATCCTAACAAAATTTTAAAGCTGTACAACTTACTAATTTAAAGCATGGAAACAAATGTTAAAACACTCCACTCCTTTGGTGAGATCCATGTGTTCAGGTTTTAAAGAAAAGTTAAGGGCTTCCAAAATCACAGCATGACTATCTTCACACCTTTTATCAATCTACCCTAGGAAGGGAAGAACAAAAGCCACCAAACTCCCAATTCTCAGTTCTCTAGCACCATCAAATGGTTTTCAAAGTCAGACACCATCCCTGCAAGGTAGAATTCACTGTAGCCACCCACCCCAACAGGTTCACCCAAACCTGGGCCAGATGCTTTCAGAGACCAAGGAGTCAAAACAGACCCCTTCCCCCTGAGGCTGAGGCTTTGCTCAGTACCAATGAGCCAAATGGCGAGCAAGGAACCAGGCTGATACCAAGGTTTTATGGAGAAATCAAGATAAACAGTGGCTAAAATCCTGTTGCATTTATGCAAATAGAGTAACTTTCAGATGCAAACTGCTATCAATTAAGAAATTTCTGTAGACATTATCTGTTGCATACTGAATTGTTTGTCTCAGGGTCAGTGATCTGGGTAACGATGCAACAGGATTTCAGCCAGTGTTTCAAAGGATTTAGGATTAATATAGTGCAACCAAAAAGTGTATCATTTGGAGGTGGTAAATGAGAAAAAAGTAACTACATTCCAGCTGGAGGTTTTCAAAGATGTGGCCATGTGAGCATAGCTCAAGACAATATATACAAAACAGTATTAAATAAGCACACAATAAACCAACTGAATGACAAATGATAACAGTATGTGGCATCTTTTTAGGTGGATGGGTTACATTGTTAGAAGACTGTAGGTGATAATAAGAAAAAGCAACTTCACAGAGTGCTCTGAGCTACTAGAAATTTCACATAAATATTGGGTACACTTTCATACAAGATTACTGGAAAAAAAAAGGTTCCCTTCTAATCTTTTTCTTATTTTCTATTATTGCTCTTATAAGTCCTATATTTGTTTTAGATATATAACAGAATTCATAGATTTGAAAGAAAACCCGAGTCTTGTATCAACATCATTGCTTAGTGTATACGCCAAAAACACCCGCGAGGTGGCGGTGCAGACATACGGTTCAATTCACCCTTACGACTAAATTCCTGTTCAACAACCTGACAGGCTTGTTTGTTCAGACCAGAAGAGAGCAACGTCAAGGGGATTAGAGGACACTTTTTCCCCCCACAAAACTCTCTAAGGGCAACACAACCTGCCAATATAACCCCCAAACCACACAAGTCTCCTTCCATTTGGAAAAACATGTGTTTTATTGTGTTGGCACTGCCACAGGGTTTGCAGCCCACATTTCCCAGTGCAAAGGCGATATATGTACTGTACTTGCATTATACCTTAAACTGCAATTCCCTTTTAGAGCAGGAAGGATGATTAAAAATAATACAGTGCAATTTGAAGTGCCCTGCAGGGGCAAGAGCCTGCTTTGTTTACCTCCCACACCCTTGACTGGGTATTGCTGGAGGATGCAACGGAGATGAATGGGCAGGGCAATTTTGGAACAGTCTAAGCCCTCCTTTGTTAATAAGTCAGCATTTCATTAGGCTGACAGTGCAAGTCCTGCCCTCTCTCCATCAGTAGCAAAGTCAGTATCCTTCAGGTTCATTGGCCCTCTCGATTTTATCTACCTGCAGCAGTTCCCTCAGGCCACCTTGCCCTCAACATTGAATTTTCAACCTCTCTTCACTCAATAGCTGCACACAGCAGAAAAAGACAGGTAACCCTAGACCTGTGTCCACTGTTTGATTTAAGAGCCCCTCATTCATTTTCAAACTGGCTAGACAGTTCAATGGTTCCAATGTCTGGCTATGGAGACAGAGGCTGGGAGTATTCTGCTTCCTGCAAGTACAGCCAGCCTGTGGGTAAGCTGCAGGGTCCAGGGCGCACCCCCCCCCCCCCAAGAAAGGAACTGGTAAGCCATTTCTGAGTACTCTCTACCTGGGAAACCCCGAAAAGGATCAGTCACCATGCCAGAATTGATTTTATGGCACATGATTGTTATTAATTCATTTTTAAGAAACTTCCAAGCTTTCCTAGGCATGCTTTGGAAGTGCAGATTTTAAAAAAAAATGCCATCTCAGAACTGCAGAAGAGACTCTAGAGTGGTCTTACAGACCAGATGGGCAGGGTACAAATCAAATCAAATCAAATCAAATCAATAAATAAAAATCTATGGATCATAAAGTCCAGCAGCTGTCAAGGAGGCACACTGGGGAATCAAACACCCAACCTCCCGCTCCACTGCGCTATCCAGCAGTTAAGCTCATCGTGTTATTCTCAGGACTGGGGCTTTCAAGGCTGAAAACGGAAGAAGCCCCCCCTCCCGCATAAGCTCCTGGGAAGTCGAGTTGCAGGTTATTTTTTCCTTGCACTTTCATTGGGCTGCATGAATAACAAATGTTGAACCCAGTCCAGGAACAGCTTCTCCAGCCTGAATTTTCAAGGGAAGGCAGGCTATATACATCTTTTGAACAAACTGCGCGATGGTTACCAATGTTCTTCAAGGCTGAGTGCTTCTGCACTAAATTGTTCTTGCAACCGCTTGAACCAGACCTTCTTCACAGACGAATGGCTGCCTCTCTCACAGCCGTTAAAGAGGTGGGAGGCGAGGGAGGTTCGGAAATTCGACGTTTAAATGTGTGCCAGGCCTCTGCTGGGCAAGAGCCAGCGCTGCAGCGCGCAGCCCCCAGTAGCTTGTGCCCCCCTTTACTCACCGCACTGCAATGTATGGGAGGCAGGGGGGCCTGCAGGTGACTCTGCCCTATCCTCCATAAGGCGTCGTCGTCCCCCCCCCGCCGATGCAAATCCTGCACCGCCGCCCCTTGTGCGAAGCCGACCGGCTCTGCAACGGATGCCTTTGAAGTAAAACTGGGAATCTTTACCAAAATACCACGGCATTTTAAGGCTCTGCGTTGTTGGGTTAGGGAAAAAAAAAAATAAGGGAAATCCCAACTTTGGGGGGGGGGGGAGTGTGCCTGCTCAGTGAGGAACTGTGCATTCTTGCTTACGGCTGAACCAGCCGCGCCTCAAGGGACTTCGCCAAGGAGAAGGACCTCGAGAAGTGGTAGCGGGTGGGGGAGGGGGGGAGGTGCCTTAGTCACAGACTTTCCTTTCTGTGGAAAAATCAAAAAGTTTCCAGCGAGCGACGGAGGGAATTCCTCAGCCACAGCCTGTGTGCTCCCTCATTCACTCCCTCCCGGCCCGGCCCGGCAACGCCTCCCAGGCAAGACCCAACTCGTTCTCCGGCGCTTCGCAGTTTGACTGGCCTGGGAAATTCCCGGCCCGCCAAGCCCCGCCCCGCGCAGAATTCCCCTCGAGC